TACATGTAGTGTGGACACAAATTCCCTCAACTGTACTTCCTCCTGGCCAAATGGCCAAGTGTGAGAATTGTGATAGTGTCCACTGGCAGCGTCAGCAATCTTCCGTCCAGGTTCGTGAGCCCGAAACTGGGTTGAAAAAGTGAAGAGAAAATGGCTTCAACGCACAGGCCCTCAAGTGAAAGCGTGTCTGGCTGGATCAAGGAAGCCGTAGAGGCGCACGTCGCGAAGTAGCAGTCGCCACAGCAGCTTTTCAATGCAGTGCTGAAAGATCTTGGAGGTCTGGAAAGCTTTTGACAACCCTGTCCAGGGTCCAGGCAGACCATGCGCACGGGCACAAGGTTTGGTGACCAAGCTGGTGGTGTTTTGCTTTTGCTGCTGCGAAGAGGACCCTGCGCGAAAGGGACAGACTGGCAGCACACTTCGTGTGCTCACACACGCAGTTCTGGAGTGCAGTCCGCTACGGCTTCATTCCAACTGCTTCCAAGCCAGTTGTGGACGATGCGCCCCTTTCATGGTGTGAGACTGGTGGCTGGGGTGCACTCGACCTCTTTGCCGAGTCGCAGCGGCCTTGGACGGCAGACCTGTGGAAGAAACGCCGGGAGGCGTTTTGGGGGAAAGTATGTAAATAGCTGCAGAGTCAGCGGACTTTTTGGGTAATAGCCTTAACCCCCCTGCAGGCTTCCGAGAAGATGGTGTCAGCGGGGCTCGCCAAGAAGCAGCGACGCTTTAGCAAGCTGGATTTGACCGCCATCATTCTGGACAAGGGTCTGACCTCCAAAGCAGCACTTCTGGCATATGTGCAGGACCACGGAACAGAGGAGATGCAAGCCTTTGTGCACGCCAACCAGAAGAAACTCAAGGAGTTCTTGGATGAAGCTGCTGAGTGGGACCGGGCACGGTCTGACGCACGGATGGAAGCAGAGACGGATTGGGAGTTGGTCTGTCGGATAGCCGAGGGGAGCTGTTGCCATGGGGAAGTGTGCTCTTACATGGAAGCCGTCACAGCTTTCTTCGCAGCAAACGCCGCATCTATCTCTCAGAACAATCTGGCCGCAGCTTTGCGAGCCATCATCTGTAGCGGTCCGTCCAAGACGACACGTGTGCCTTTGGTTACTGGACCCACGAATTCGGGGAAAACCACTTTGTTTCTTCCTTTCGACGAGGTCTTTGGGTTTCATCGGGTCTTCCACAAGCCGGCGCTTGGTAGTAAGTTTGCCTTGCGCAACATTCTTCGTGACAAGCGGTTCTTGTTCTTCGATGATTTCCGGCCAGTGGAGTACGCGCAAGAGATGTTGCCTGTCTCAACATTTCTCAGTCTCTTTCAAGGGCAGCCTCTGGAAGTCCAGGTGTCCCAAGCCTTTCGCGATGGCAATGTGGACTTCGAGTGGCACCGAGGCTGCATCATGACGGCGAAGGCAGACGGCTTGTGGACACCTTCCGGGTCCGTCTCGCCCGAAGACATCCGGCACATGCAGTCTCGAGTCACAGTCTTTGCTGCCACGAGCACCATCTCCAGACTCCGGGACACACTTCCGTGCAGAAGGTGTTTGTGTTACTGGGTCTGTGAATCGGCCAAACAGCATGATGCAGAAAGTGCTCTGGCAGCTCCGTTGCTTCAAGATCCCACTCGGTCTGCAGGAGACACCTCCAATATCATTGGCTTGGAGTCTCTGGCGCAGCAGGCTCACATCCCACCGGGCAAGCTGCAGCAACTACGTCTCGATCTCCTGGCGTTGGGTGTGGTGCATGTTCGGGAGCTCACAGCTAGAGGAGGACTGGCGCGGCTTGACATGTTGGCCATCTTTGCTACCCTTCGAGCAGCGCCGCCTGCTTGCTGCGCAAGCAGGAAGTGCTTGATCCTTCAGAGTCTCGACTGCTCAATGC